ATTATTTTATCATTTAAAAATACCATAAAATAATTGATTTATTTTATAAACTGATCATAGTGAAGTATTAAATAAACCCTTATATTTCATCATCAACGACTCTGATCCTAAATCCTTGCAACAAAATACTAGAATATAGATCGTTTACTAGTTAAATCACGTGATCGAGATGGCAAGGGTTCAACTCACTTCACAAACAACTTAATCCACAGACAGACAAGATAATAGACAGTTCATTTCACGGACAAAGTAATTATAGTCATTGCCGTTAGGGTTAGGTTTAGAAAATTTAGAATTATAGTACAATTTATAAAAAACTTGTCTGTGAATTAATCGTCTATAAAATACCTTAATTGTCTACGAACTAAGTTGTCTTGAAGTGATTTTCGGTGAAATAATACGAACCGTAGAGGTTCATCTAGTGTTACAAATCGGACCAAAAAATGCAATCGATTAGTTGGCCAAAAATTTTTTAAAAATCGATTAAAAAGCGAGCCATTAATTACAAGATATATACCATATAAAACACCAGTCGATTAGTCAACTAATCAATTAACTAACTAGTTGATTAATCAGTTAATCGGTTAATCGTGACAATCTATTAGTTGCCTAATAAAATCATTAATCGGTTAGTTGCCAATTTGATTAATTAATCGATTTTCGATTTGGAACACTAGGTTCATCATCTTCATTCCGCGAATAATGAGATTTTTCATCATGACCGTTACGTATTTTACTCTACTCTGCTACTCTGTGTAATCTTATTATCACAATTTATTTCATCATCATTAACCTCGGGACCGTCCGAATCATCGACATTGATTTGCAAAATATTAGGAATACTGACCATGCACAGACGTTCTGTTACTCTTTTTACAGGCATTTCTTATTTAATTTTCCTATCACCTGCTGTCACAATCTGATAAGCATCGTTGGCAACAACAGAAGTATGGGTAGTTCTAATTCAGTTAATTTATACAAGAAGCTTGCTGATACATTAGGTTGTTGCGTTGTGTTTGACAAGTTTGGCGAGAGTGAAAGTATTGTTAGTCGTAGCAGCGAGAAACATCCTGTTCGTTGTTGTTTATTGCCGTTGCGTTAAAAATCCAACTCGATTAAAGTTATTCATAAAACTGTAGGTGGTGATGACTTATGTTCTTTCAATGATGGTAAGAATATTTCGGGGTCTCATAATTTTTAGAACCTTTGATGGAGATGTCGGGTCGGGTAGTTCGCAACTAGACCAGGTGACTATAATATTTGGGGCCATCCTCGTCGATTCATTCTGCATAAACGATGGAAAGAACCCTTTTTCTATTTACGATTATACAGTATTGACAAGAAACCATATGATGCACGTGAAAGTGATGTTATAACGTGTTTAGTTTGACCGCCAAAATGCTTTCACGTGATTACATAATAAAATAATTGGTGAATTAAGTAATTTGATCGAAATTGTCGTTATTGTATTGATCATTATGTATTGTCTGTCTGAAAAGAGTTATATTATGCACCAGATAAATATAGCGATAGCATAATCTTTTTTTAAAAAAAAAAATTTTTTTTTAAACAATGAGTTTATCTATCAATCACATTGGAAATTATTACGTTTCACACTATTGCGCATGCAATCTGAAACTAATTATTCTTGATTTAGAAAGTGAAATATGAGTGGACTAAAAAAAATGCGATTGAAAAAAAGATTTATCAAAAAAAATCTGTAGTAATATTGCACCCTTTTAATTTCGCGATCCTGGTCTGCAAGATTTCAAGTATGTACGTACGTACGCACATACTTAATATGTAATTATAGAAGTTCGAGACCGAGTGATCTTTGCCACATGACACTTAAGTTGAAGCCGTGCAACAAAAGTTCATGATGCATGTCGATATTTCCTTTACCATTTAAGCAACTCTCCCGATTTGGTATTTTTTGAAGGGCTCGAAACTTTAAGGTTATTGCACTTGAATTCTTAAACAGGATAACCGAACAGGTAGTTTTATTAAAAAAATTTGTTATTGAAATTTATCACCTGATTCTTTTGAAATATTGTAGAACATATTACAAATAAAACCTTTTTTAGTATATATGGTTATATAAGTAATGAAATAGTTTTCAAGCGTTAATTTCAAATATAGCCAAACTTTATTCTGCCGTTATTTGAAATAATACGCATGCTTATTCCTTAATCGTTGTTACTACTGTCTCATGATCGTCATACTTTTTGTCGTTGTGTCTTTTAACCGTATTACCCTGTTATGTCATATACTTTTCTATTTCAGTATTTGCGTTTCGTATACCTATTTTCACCTTATTTTTCTACCTTATATGGTTATTTGTTTATACTTAGCCTTGATTTATCCATAGCCTCATTGGTGTACGTACGCACGTACGTACTCCTAGATTAGATGGGACTTCGGGATAATGACACGAAGGAGGCAAGTGTTGAGTAAAGATCTGAACAACTTTAATGAATTAAGAACGGGTGCGATAGAATGAAACATTGTCAATAAGATTAGATGCAAGCAACAGAATTATAGGAAGATTAGGTGCTAGAAGGTATCTCAATACATGCAAACTATGTAATAAAGAAAAAAAAACTTGTATAGCTAGCTGCGCGGCGTAGTTGTTCGGCGTAGTTGCGCTAAACCTAGAAAAAACAGATGCATCAATAAATTCAAAGGTTTGTAAATTAAAATCCTAACGGCTTATTATTTGTAATTGATAAATTATTTACTATTGACCTGACTTTAGCATTTATATACTGTATGCTGTCATCGTAATTACAGCATTATCGTTATTGGCATATGGGGTCTTTGCCTTGAAAATGACCTTACGGTACATGATGCCGTAGGGTCATTTTCAAGGCAAAGACCCCATATGCCATAACGGATAACTAATTACGCAAATGTTATGACGGTAAAAGCCGTAAACAGTATTACCAAAAGTGACGGAAAGGAAAAACCCGTAACGGTAAATTGATTCGGGTTCAGCCCTGATCCCCACAATAATTACATGTGATACGTATACAACTGATCGCTTTAGTCGCTTCGATAACACTATTGATTGGTATTAAAAGAATTAAGGATGTTATCGGCTTGAGGCTTGTATATTTAACAGTAGAGGTCTTTTTTCAATTCTTAACAGCTGCCCTACCTTGTTTAGTGCGTCGAGTATAACCCAGGTTTGCATAAGGAGAGCATATTCCTGCGTTGCAAATACAAAGTAAAAATTCTATTATAGGAAATTTTACTTTGTATTCGCAACGCTCTCCTTATACAAACCTAGGACGCATTAAACAAGGTAGAGCAGCTCTTTACAGAATATTTCGATTTACGAAATATTAATAATGTCTTATAATATATTTAAAAATAGGATTCTGTTATATGGTGCACCGTGCACTGAGTGCACCCTCCCCTGTATTTCAAAATACTAAGAGAACCCTGTTGTGTAACTAAGTAAAAGTGCTTCTCTCGCGATTTTAACCTAAACCTAACTCTAAACCTAACCCTAACCTAACCCTAACACTAGATCTTAACTTTATCCTAATATTAGGTGCTCATTTTGCTTATTTGCTATTAAAAACAGGGGTGCACCGTTTAAATTTTTTCTTAAAAATATTATAATAATTTTTAAAATTTTTTACAAATTTTAATACTATTATTATGTATAATATTTATATAATTTTATAAGTTTATTGTAACTCTATTTTTAATATATGATAAAAATATGTTTATTATTTTTTTTTTTTAAATATTAAAGGTGAGACCTTGCTCTTATCTTTATTAAACTTAATGAAAACTTTTTACATAATTGAAAAAGGTTTTAAATTTTAAGCCTAGTGCTAAGAATAAGAACTCAGACATTTAGAGAACCTAATAGGTAATCTAAATATTTATCTGCGGCCTAAACCTAAATATGTTTATTATTATATATATTATAATATATAATAAAAATAAAAATATATTATACATTTTAAAATATAATAATTATAGTATTATTATATATTAGTAATAATCATAATTATGATAGCTTTATTATAATTATATTTTTAAAAAATCAAAGTTTCTGTAAAGCTGTTAAAAATCGAAAAAGACCTCTGATATATTTAACTATTATAAAAACCGATTAATAAATAGAGCCGAATAAACGATAACATCCTAAAGCGAATTTGTTAAAAGAAATATGATGAAAGAGCTAATCACATAGGATTGTATTTCCAAGGACATGAAAAGTAATAAATCAATTTACAGGTTTTCCTTTCCCGCATAATGCAATATAGCTTTAATACTGCGTTGCAATGCCATTTCCATAATGTCGTACTGCCATATTGACATGATCTCTATAACTTTAGTTTCTACTGGCTGATAGTTATCTTTAATTTTATTAAACAACTATAGTGATATTGTCGCTATTTTGAAGCTGATGTTTCATTAAAATGACATTGACTCAAAGTTTCGTTAGGAATAAATCGGTTTTAAAATACCGATAAATAATTTTGTTCTAGACAGTAGCTGGATCGTTATTCTAACACCGCTTCAAGAATATACGTATATTGAGGTAGTGTATCTTCTATAAGTTCTTTTTTTTTTCTTCTTGGGATATGGAACCAAAATATTGGTTCGAAGGACTAGAATGGTGGGTGTCTTCTGCTTAAAATTTCCCGAAGAATTCTCCAGAACTATATACAGGATTTCATATCATGTTAACATTTGAGATAGAGAAGTATTTTGGTTATATATAAGCCAATATTCCAAGAACGATTGAATTTGAAATCATAAATAACTCATTTATCCGTTTTTATAGTATAAAATCTGCATTCTTAGTTTTTTTTTTTTAATGAATTAAGATATTTTCGATATAATATTAATGAATTAATAAATATAAATCCAGTAAAATAGATATTTTATTTAAAAGGACACTTCTATAAATAATATTATTATCATGTAAAATAAAGATCTGTAATTAGCAATACATAGCGTATCTGTCCATTGTAGTTTTACTTTTAGGTATTCTCGAAAATTTCCGTCATCAGCATTATTGTTAAAACCGGTTCTATATTATAAATTGCTTGTTTATCTTTTATGACCCATAGGATATAGCAATATTTACGACAACTAACTTTTTGTAAAAATTTAAGCATTTATTATGTGACTATAGAAATTTAGTATTATAACAAGAAGTGATTCAAGTCTTAAAATATGTATATCATTATTGATTTTTCAAATTCTGTCACTAGATCTCAAATGGACCAGTTAACCGCCTTTAACGAGACAAATATAAATTTCAATACAGTATTCTTTACACTGTTTTACGGGCAAATTTGCCTGCAGATTTTACAAATACACAGATTAAAAAGTTTTACTGACACGTCACACGTGACTAATTCTGCCATACTCCCTAATCCTAATTCTAATGCCAGCCACTCTGTCGATTATTCTATTGTTGTGTCGATAAGTCACGTGCATGCTGCCCACATTAAATGTAGATGTAATTTAAGAGCATATGGAAACATAAGCTTGTACTTTAGAATTTTTCGCTTATTTTTGGGGTTCAGAAGCCACATGCCTTATCACGTGCAAATGCAAGCTGACCTCACATTCTGCCCGCTTTACAATTCGATTTATGCGAATTATGCGATAGATTTTTTAAAATTATGCGAATCAGCGAAATAAGTGTAAATTTGCCATAATTTATCGGTGTAAATTTTTATCTTAAGTTACTGAACTCATCAGTAACTTACCTATCAAAACCACAGAACTTAAAATTTTGTTTACAAAACTGTCTTTTGTGTCCTAGCAAAAAATCTCCTTGCAAAATTTTAGTATAATATATGTTTCTTGTTAAACTTTTATACTGCCTTAACGATATGTTTTAAACAT